AAGGTTTTAATATAATTTAACCAAGTTTTACTTTTACCATTTAGACGTCTGTCTAAACTCTTGATTTCGTCAAGCAACCTTACTTGTAATTATTAAAAAAAATTTTATATATTTCTAATATTATCATTTATTGTAATTACTAACATGGATATTATATCTCATTAAGTTTAATATCAAATCTTTTGCTTAATTTTTTTCATCATTAATTTTAAACACAAATAATTTAGCCCTCAGATCTAATATGATGAAATTTGCAATATTTCATCTACAAATGACTAGTAAAAGTTTGATTTTTAGTAAATTAAATTTACCATTATGTTTTGTGAAAATTATTCAAATATCAAAATAAATGTCCTTGAATGCTAAGAAAAATAATGCAGATATTATTATGAATCACATAATTAGAACTAGAAAGTAGTTGAGCTACATATTCAATTGATTCCAAAAGTATTATTATATTCTTTTATTTTAATTAAAAAGTAATTAGTTATATTGTATTTAATATATTTAAAAAATACTTATATTATTTAATATATATTACTTATATTAATCCTATTACAATCATTATCATTAGGATATCTTTGATAAATTGCCAGATCATCAGCAGCAAGTAAGTTCAAGGTAGGTTCCATTTTTTAAATATATAATAGGTAGAATAATAATAACTAACTCAGATGTCAATTAATTAATTCCTTTAAGTTGATATAATGCTTTTAAAAAATTATTTGTTAGTAATGATACTTTGATAAAAATTATTAAAATCAAACTTTTTTAACAGATTCATTTATTAATTCAAGTTATTTAGTAACTGCTAAGTTTAAAATGTGAGTAACACACTAGTAATGAGAAAAATACAGGTTATCAAATTCTTCTTCAAATTCTTCTGATATAAATGCACTATATGAAATCATTGAATTTACATTATCAGTTATTATTGCTAAAGCCTTTTCTAATAAATTAAACTCATAAAGAATTATCATTATAGCATTTGCCATATTGATTTCAAAATGACAAACAGATATTAGGATAATATCAAGAAGGAATGATTTAACTTTCAAGAAGCATTTACATAATGTATAGTAAGACTTAAAATACTAGCATTGTTTATTGCTATTCACATATTTGAAGTAAAAGCTATTTTTTCAGAAATTTGACTTAATATTAACTTTAGTTATTCTTTTTTTTGAAATAATGATATTATATAATCCTTAGTAGTATAGTAACTATGAAATCAGTATTTTAGATCAAATTTAAAAATCATTTGTTTTATTTTACAATACTAAATAGTTAAATAGTTGAATATCACAACAATCCAATTTATAATATATTTATCCTATTCTTATTATTCATACTTAGAATATGAATCATTATGAAATTTATGTATGATCCTTTGATATAGCTTAGGTATTATAATGTCATGTTTATTCAAATGCCTTCTTAAATATGAAATTGATGATGATGCTAAAAGCTTAATCTTACATTTTTTACAAACTGGCTAATCAGAATATTCTTTTGTATTATATTAAAATATTCATATACTGATAATTTAGACTATTGTAAAATCAATTACAAAAAACCTGATAGTTACTTATCATCTTTCTCAATAGATTTTTTAGTTCCAATTTCACTACTATCATTATCAATATTATCGTAATTATTCATATTTTATATAAATAAGTTTTAAAATAATTCACAATATAGGATTCTATTGCTAATCTTAGTAAGGTTAGCTCACTTAAGCTATTCATATAAAATACTTCTTTTTATAAATATGAATATCTTTAAACAATTTGTGATATCATCTACAAAACGAATGATTGGATTGGATTTAATAACTATTGAAACAAATATTATAAATATTATTTAGAAGGTACATAAAACTAAGTTTTAAAATTTATTACAATAATAAAAAGCTTTTGTAAAATAGAACCTGAATGTGACTTTATTAGGAAATATTCTATTTTTTTCATAATAATTATGAATGTTTATTTATATTTTAACAAAAAATTTTTTAATTTTTTATTCAAGTTTTTGATAAGTTTGACTATATTAAATACATTTGATCATTTTAAAATACAAACTTAAATTTGTGTTTCAAAACTTGTTGCATTTATATTAAATGAGAAATAGATTTGATAATCAGTTCAGACTGATCTTCAGATTATAAATTGAGGACTGTAAAGTTTTATCTATTAATCCAGTGATGCGTTTTGAACACATTTTTTAGTTTTGGACAAGGTTTTGGACATATGAAATTGTGTTCAAACCTGTTCAAAATTACCTAAAATTGTCCAATTTCCTAACACTGTATTAACCTATCTGCAGACCATCTTTTCTAGAACTAAACTAACCCTAATTATAATACTAATATAGAAAATTAGAGAAGACATCATACATGTAATGTTCAGCAGATCTAAAAGTAAAATAGAAAATATAGAAATGAAAGAGAAGAGCATCAAAAATAGCATGATATTACTCAAAGGTTCAAAGAAGTTATGATTAAGAATAATGTTAAAAAGCAAACTTATATTAATACATTTGTAAAGCTAATAAATAGAAATTTTCAGCAAATAATTTTTAATTTATTTAACAAGAAATTTTAATGCTTCAGAATAATCCATCTAATAATAATAATAATAATTAACAAACAAGAATGATAGGATATTTAAAAGGTTTTTAGGAAAGGATTCAAAAGACTGGATTAGAGAATTTCAAAAAAATATAATAGCAAACTAAATATAGGCTGCTAGAAGAGTAGAAATAAATCTTTTATTTGAATTATGTTTAGAAGAACCAGCATTAATATGATATAAAACTCATAAAGATAAAACTAGGAATGTACTAATCTCTCAGAAAATTTATAAATAGCTAATCTAAATGTTGTTCAAGATTTAGCAGCAGAAAATGGTGATATCCAAGTTAGAGGATTGAATACTACTGGAGAATTTCATAATGAAGCAATTGCAGAAATTGATAGAATTAGTGCAGGAGTTATAACTGAGGCAAATTTAATTCCAGTAGGTATATTTAATGAAGATTAGACTTTTACAGATGAAAAACTGACAAATAATACACCAGTAATACCAAATACTGCTAGAGGTTTTTTTGCAGTTATAATTACATCTGGAATTAAAATTGATCAAATTTCATAATCATTAATAAACTTAATTACATGATAAGTTGCAACAATTTTTGTTAATTTAATGGCATCTTTATAATAATGCAAATTTTACAGGTAAATTTCAGATATTTGAAAATTATATATAAAAGAGTTCATAAATAAAGTATTGTATAATGTCATACTATAAAATGAAAGGCATTGGAATAGATTGTCACGAAACCTCTAAATTGAAAAGTTCTTTCGTTATTTGATCCAATATCGGAACAATGCTTATTGAACAAACGAAATTTCGGATTTATCTGAAAATCTTCGGAGTTTTTACCGAAAAACGTTCGAATCTAAAACCCTTAAAAGACTGATAAAAATAACGTTTTTCACATGTTACATATTTTAATTTTAAAAAGGTTGCAACCAAAAATTTAACAATAACATCACATGACGAATTACAAAGATATAGATCATCAATCGACAAGGTTTTTTTTTTAAAAGCTTGAATGAAAATGCATAAACATAGAACAAATAAATTTCGTATATTTATTGAAGATAGTAGTAGTTCTCAAGAAGAAAATAAAGAAACTGCAAGATCAGAAAATATAATGAAAAGCGAAGAGAAAGAAACAAATGAATTTCAAGAGGAAAAAGAAGGAGGTAGGGAGTCTGAAGAGGAAAAACCTAAATCACTTAAACTTTATCATAGGTTAAAGAATTATAGCAGTCAAGGAAAAAAAATTAAAATGAATGACAATACTAGTGAGGAATGCAATAACAATTCAGAAGATAATTTATTAAAGACAATACAAAATAATGGAATATCGAGAAAATTTAAAAGGATTCATAATAAACAAAGTGACGGATCCAAACATAAAGGAAAAGGGGTAATTGGTAACGATAAAGATGGCGATTCTACTGATGAAGAAGAATCTATCAATGGAGATGAAGAAGAAAAAGAAGTAGGATTAGATACAACCATAAGAAGGAGTGAAAGGTTAAAAGATAAAACGGGTTCAATGCACTATTCTAAAGAAAATTTTTGGATAAATGATTATGATCTTGAGGGAAGTATTGAAGAGTCGGAGATGGAAGTTGATCATCGAGAAAATGATGATAGTGGTGCAAGTGGACGTGATTATATAATTATGTGTAAAAGGAATGAGGAGGAGGATGAAGAAATGAAAGGTTAACATTAAATCAAGGTTCATTATGCGTGTTGTTATCGCCAATTAATCTCATATTTACTTTTTTTATTAGACGCAGAATCACATGTTCATGTTACCGAAATAAATGGAATGGATAATATTAATAGTAATAATGTTAATAATGAAGCAAATGATAATCGTAAGTTAAAATTATCTCACGATCAAATATTTCATCCATATCGTTTAGATAATAGAATAAGAATGATTGAACAAACTCTTCAGAGAACAACTTGGAAAGAACATTTAAGTGAAACGCGTATTAATAGATTAGAAGCCAAAAATTATAAATTAAAACAAGAATATAAGCAATTAAGAAAGCAACTTAGAAGGCAAAGACGAAAAGAAAAAGATGATGATGATTCATCACGCAGTGTAAATCCAGATCAAATTCAAAACCCTGCTGGAGAATATTCCAATGAAAGAATTGGATTTGATTATGGAGTGTTTGTAGCTGGATTAGTTGGATTTGGATTAGGAGGTCTAGTCTCTCATTATTTATAAACATTTTCCCCGACATTTAGTATAATCTTAAATTAATTTTCTTCCAAACAATTTTCATTACAGTATACACTTGAACCGGGATTTAAATTATCAAAATTAATAATAACGAATTCCTTAAGTTTGTATATATTTTATTATCATTAAAGCTAGGTTGATAAAAATTTATTGGATAAACAAAAAACTTATTTAACAAATAATTACATATAGTCCTTTGTTTAAATTCAAAGAATTTATTTAAAATCTCATAAATTTAAAACAAGAAAGAAATTCTTTCAAGTGAAACAAGTAAAATCAATCCCCGTGGAACTAGTAAATTCATCTTCAGAACCTGCCTTTCGCACTAAAACCCCTTGTGCAAAAAATCCTTGATCATTCCAAGCTTTCATATCTTCTCCTGAAAATGGTCCATATATATCATTAGAATTAGCATCTGACGAGTCTATCCATTTATATTCCCAATACAATTGTTGTGTTGTCGCTATATTACTTGAAAATTCATCAAAAGGTGTATTTAATGAATCATTTTCAGCTTCTTTCTCCTCCTCAAAATTTACTGGTATCCAATCTTCTGGAACTGCTTTTTCCCTTTTCAAATTTCTTAGGATTTGTTCCCATGTATCATCATAAACATTAAAATGTCCTAATGCCATCATTTTATCAGATAAATCAGTAAGAATTTCTATTTGTTTCTTGCGTTCTTGTTCAGCAATTTCTTCAGGTGTGAGTTCTTCTTTATCAATTGCCATTTCCATTGTTTCATCTGTTTTGCCCCTTTTTTTCTTGTAATGTTTTTGTCCTCGTTTATTCTTTCCTTTATTACTTAGTCCTCCGCCTAATCTTTGTAAAGTATCTAATAATGTTTCACCCTGTTTCATGATTGCTAAAAGATCCTTCCATATTGAAACTCGATCTAGTGGACCTCTTGAAGCTTCTTCAGCTTCTTTAAGTTTTCTCTCTTGCTCTTGCTTTTCATGTGCTCGTTTAGCTTTTTCAATGTCTTTCTGTGAAAGTCCTTGAAGCCATTTATCATGAAATGCGCTGGGGTCTTTTTTATTACGAACATAATTTCCCGCTTCATCAAATCTACCTTCTTCCATTTCAGCTTTCATATTAAAAGCTTCAATTATAGGTTCCCCAGATTCTTCATCGTATGCATCCCTAGATGTATATTCTTGACCTTCAATTTCATCCAATTCCAAATACTTAACCTTTTTCTTCCCAATTACATCCAATGATCCTTTTTGTTTAGATGAAATATCATCATCTGCAAACATATCATCCAAATCATCAGCTGTGTCTTTACCTTTTCGACGGTTAAAGAGAGCTGTACCATCGTCATCACTAGTATCTGTTTCATCACTTGCATATCCTTGAAGTTTAACTGCACCACGACGTAGTTTAGCTTTTTCTAAATAGGTTTCATGATCAAATTCATATTCACCCTCTTCTTTTACAATTGGATCAGTTGCTGCAGAATCATCGGACGTCTGAAATCGAACTCTTTTAGAACTAGAAGGCTCAAGAGGATCTTTATTGTTTTGATCAGTAGAGTAACTCTCACGTTGCGATCTTTTAGACATGTTAAAATAAGTGTTGGAAGAGTTGGAACAAAAATTTGTCGTTACATATTCTCACTATGGTTACACGCCTTTTTTCGTCATAATGAATAACGAATAAAGTTTACAAAGACGGAAATGATCTAAATAACATAAAATCACATGGATTTATACTACAAAAAATTGATCGATAATTAAAACCAATCAAAACTTTTGGAATTAGTTAAAATAACTTCCATAACTAATTTTATTCCTTTCAAAATTATATTTTTATAATTGAAAATAATTTTTTTGTTATAATGGAGGAATCACCACCAATTAGAGAAGAAAATAATAAAGAAAATACAGCACAACATAATGTAAGATGTTCCTTTTTCTTTTTTTTTCTTTTTTTAAAATTCACTTATGCCAATTAATAATTTTGATATTTAGGTTACTCTTCATCTCAAAGCTCCGTATTTTAGCGGAATTCCTCTACGAATTATGTTTTATATGCTGGATTACATACCAGGACTTGCTTCAATCTTTTTTTGGAACGCAGGACTTAGGGCATTGCGAAAACTGAATTTTGAAGACCATCCAACACTTTTACCACTTCCTTTACCAAAAGAAGCATTTGGAATCGAGGAAACAAAGGTTCGCTTATTCATAAAGAAAATTTTGATATTTAAAAATATTAAAATAAAAATTATTGAATTAAGGTAGTCGATGGCTTGGAAATTTTCGAGAAACAAAAAGATTCGCGCCTGAAAAATTACTCTTCAGGACTTTTAAGCACAAGTGATTTTCATGGAGCTTATCTTGCTAAAAGGGTTACTCCCTTACAAGTAAGTGTAACATTCCTCTTTTCCAAAATTAAAAAGTTTTCTCTATGTTCACATTAACTATTACGTTAATTTGGTTATAATGATTTAATTTTTATTTACTCATGAAACTAAAGTTGCTAATTTATAATTATTCATAAACTAACTATATTATATAATCACGTATATTAATTTTTTTTTATTTAGATATGCGAAGCACTTCTAATTAAGATTGAAGAAACTCTTGATGTTACTAAATGTAATCCTCCCCTCAATGCTATCTTTAAGTACCAACGCGATGATATTATCGCACAAGCCACTGCATCAACGGAACGATATGCTAATGATTGCTCGTTGGGTTTGCTTGATGGCATTCCGATAGCAGTTAAGGATGAAGTTGATGTCAAAGGTTATGAAACTAGTGCTGGCACCAGTTTTATAAATCATGGAAATCCAGCAAAGGATGACGCAACGATTATAGAGAGGTTAAAAGAGAAAGGTGCAATTATTATCGGAAAAACAGCTATGCACGAAATTGGATTTGGGTAAGTTGTTACATCAGTGCTTTATGTTCTTAAAAAATAATTTTAATACTAAAAAAACTCAGCATTACAAATAATAATCCATATGTATGTACACCACGAAATCCCTACAATGCTAATCATTATCCTGGAGGATCGAGTGGAGGTAGCGGTGCTGCTGTTGCCTCTGGATTATGTCCAATAGCTATCGGATGTGATGGTGGAGGTTCCATTAGGTAACTTAAGTTAATCTCATATTGATAAATCTGAGACCAATTTTTTATGAGATTGATTTCATTAAAAGTTTTATCTTTATTTAGGATACCTTCATCATTCTGTGGTATTTATGGTCTAAAAACCACATGTGGAAGGTTTTCAGCTTATGGCGAATGTGAGTTTTTTTTTTTTTTTTTTAAAAAAAAAAATTATATAATTAACATAAGAAATATATACCAAAATTTTTTATACTATTAAATAGTCCCGCTTGCACCTTCAGTCGCAGTATCGGGTCCCATGGCAGCAAATGTGGACGATTTGGCATTATCGTATTATGTCATGGCTGGAAAAGATCCAAAGGTTTGGATTAATAAGATCAAAGTTTTTATTGTACGTTATTTTTAACAAAATTTTTAAACTTTAAGGATCCTTATTCCTCACATCAACCGTTGCCCACATTACATGGTTTTTACTTTACTAATACGTTAAGTGACTTAAAAATTGGCGTTTATTCAGCATGGAATAAGCAAGTGGTTAATCCAGCCATTACTATTGCATTAAATAATTTTATCAATGAACTAAAACTTCGCGGGGCAAAAATTATAGAGGTTAAGATTCCTGAGCTTGAGGAAGTACGACTAGCCCATTTGCTTACTATTGGTGCTGAACTTACTAATTCTGCGAAGAAGTACCGTAGCAAGTTGCATTTATTTTCTTATCCTACTCGTGCAAATTTTAATTTAATGAAGTTAGTCTCAGCAACAGTAAGTATTATTAAATTTTATGATTGCAAGCACGTTTATTGAGATATAGATATACTTTTGATTTTAACTCTTGATTTCGTTTTATTTTTTTTTAGGATTATAGTGAGTAAAAAATAAATTTTTATAAATATAAATTTATTTAATTTGTAAAATTAAAAAAAAAATTATTATTATTTTTAGTTACATCTCAGCAAATTCGTACCCGAATTATGCATACTCTTGCGAATCTCTTCAATAATCAAGTTAATTTAATTTTAACACCTACGACTGCCATTACCGCTCCAAAAGTTCATTCACGCGCGTTGTCTCATGGCGAAGTAGATGCAACTATTACATCTGATACAATGAGATTTATTCAATTAGCGAATTTTTCTGGTGTTCCAGCTGTTTCGGTACCAGCTGGATATGATGATAATAATTTACCAATTGGATTACAATTTATTGCTAAATGGTATGATGAAGCAACTTTGTTACGTATTGCTAAAACTTCTGAAGAAATATTAGGAAATAGAAGAAGAAAACCCTCCGGCAACTTATGGTTTGGTAATTATGTTCGAAAAGTTTCCGAAAACTTTCTTGGAGAGTCTCAAGTGTCCAAATTATAATCATTCAGGTTCCTTTGAATAAGACAGTCAAATTTTAATGAAAATTATGACAATTTGATAATTTATATTTAATCCATTATATTTATGAATGTCTATTTTAATATGTAATTCACATTAATAAATACTTAAATTCATACAGTATATTTCAAATTAATTTTTTATTTTCAGACAATATTAAAGCATTAATTTATTATAATTGATAAAATCATTCACAGTTAATGAGTTACAATATAAATAAGCTTTTAATGTTAAAAATTAGGTGATATATTACTTTAGAAAGAAGTTATATATTTCAAAAACCTTAGATGGTATGTTACATCAAGTGATAATTACTTTTTAACTGCTGTTGCTTACTTATTATCAAAAATTTTATATAGCTTTTAAAATTAAATTCAATGAAATAAGAGAGAGCTCAATGAATTATTACAAAAATAAAAATTATAAAATAAAAAAAAATGTATTTTATTAAAAAAATTAACTGTTATTTCTATTTGTATAATTATTATTAAAAATTATTAGCTACAGTAGCAAGCAAAAGAAACGTAATGTGAATTGCACATCGTTATAAGCTTATATCTCATCAACTACGAATGCTAGAAATATGATTTTGCATTTATTTTAACCTTGAAACTTAGAAAATATTTAGTAAAAATTTGAAGTGTAGTTATTAAGACCAATTTTGAGAAATTTAGCAATCTACATCACATTTTCTTATTTAAAAAAAAATTTAAGTTTAAAAAACTTTTTTCAGTAGGCTGGCTACTAAAAAACTGATACTGAATTCCGATTCTTCTCAGTGCAGTGATTCTAACAAGCTAAAATTCGTTAAAATCAGATCAGTTTTTATTTTTTTTTAAATGTGGTAATATAATTTTATTAAATTTAAATTTAAGAAATCAAATAATACAAAGTAGAAAAACTAAAATAGTATCTATATAATTCAACAAAAACAAAACTATTGTTTAGAGATATTTTATAAACCTATAAAAGATTAGGTCCCTTCAAACCAGTCATTTGTTTTGTCGAGTTCAAAAACAAATGCATAAACATAAGTCCTATCATGACTATCCATTAAAAAGAAAAAAGTTTGAAAAACAAAGAAGAAATTAAAAACAACTGATCTAAAAAGAGTGTCATGTATTATAAATAGTCTGACTAAATCAATCCAATTGGTAAAAATAGGTTTGTTAGAAAAAAAAGAGAAATTAATATGTTGATTAAAAGTGAATGTAAAAGTTCCATCATATTTTCTTTTTTATTTATCTGAGTATAAAGTTTTTTCTTTTTTGATTATGAGTTCACATCTAAGAAACCAAATATCATTATGAGTTTGGTTATAAAGATATATAATAGTATTTGATAAAATAAATGTGTTTTTTTATGAATTTATAATGTATTGAATGTCATTGAAAAGGTTTGATGAAATGATACCTTTGATTAAATCAATAAAGGTTAAAAAATTATTTTGAGAGACAATTAAGGTTGCTTGTCTAAACTTGGCAAAATAGTTAAACCTTTAGTTTCGTTAAATTTTTACTAAGTGTTTGATATAGTTTCGCCATTTTTATAAGCTTTGATATAGTTTTAACTTTTTTCAAATTTTGCAGATTTTTTAATAAGGTTTTAATATAATTTAACTAAGTTTTACTTTTACCATTTAGACGTCTGTCTAAACTCTTGATTTCATCCAGCAACCTTAGAGACAATAGTTCAAAGATCATCAGTATTTAAATAGTAAATTAAGAAGATTGAAGGAGTAAGATAAGTTGGTATAGAAGGAAATTTTTGGTAATATCTATGATATCAATCTTGATTGGTAAGCTGAAAGTACATAGTCAAATATAATCAAAAGTTTCATTTGCTTGTACACAATGATAACATTTTTATGAATTATAATAAATGTGTTTCTGTATAGATTTTAAGAATTCTACTGTAAAAAGCTATTCAATTAGATATTTGATCTTTCGGCTGTGTTGTTTTGAGTTGTCAAAAGTGGATAAATTTGAATTTGATATTCTTTCAAATTAGTAAAAATACATAGCCAGTTTATATGAAAATATTTGTATTTGAAATTTCTTTTTAAGTAAAAAAAAATAATAAATCCTTAAGTTATTG